AGCAGACCCACCAGCCGAGTTTGCACGCCCTGGAAGCTGAATCTCCAGCTGGGGCGTGGGGGACTGCCGTGGCTTCCCATAGTCCAGAAAGGACGTCTGGGTTGCCACTGCAACCGTCAGTGGTGCAAGTCCCCGCTGCACCACCTGTGCATAGCCACCCTTGCGATAGAACGCAAATCGACGGCGCGCTTCCGGGTAGGAGAGGTTTTCTTTGACCTTCAAGGTAAGTACGTCTTTCTCTTCTTTCTATGTCTTGCAAGATCTAGAATACGCAGGGTGTGGACCACTACAGTTTACACAATAGGCTTCATTAGAGCAAAAATCTGCAGAATGGTCGTTTTTTCCACACTTGGCACAAGTTGCCTTATCACGGTAGTTCTGAGAGCCGTGGCCGAACCGCTGGCAGTTGAAACATCTCCGTGGGTTTGGAACATCGAGGGAGGTTTTTGCGCGAGAACCCATAACATGGGAAGGAAGGTTCAGTTCCCGGGTGCACCGCCCACCACGGAGCCCAACAAGGGGGTAGGTAATGTGCCATAGCAAGATGGGCTTGGCTGACACAATTACTCTACCAGTGCTGCCCGGGCACTATACCCTAGTGTGGTTGCAGGGACAGGACCTGTTTCCACTCAAGGTTGGCCATTGCCGCCTAAGAAGGTGAAAAAGGAAGGAAGAGAGTGTAGAAGAAAAGAGAAAGAGGTGGTAGGAAAAGTGAAAGAACGAAGAAGAGGGCGACTGGCTGAATCATCCTGGTCGGGCCAAGCCAGGACACCCGTCTACGAGAAGCAGGGGTCGAAGCGATGTATTGCTTCGCCCGGGGGGCCCCGAAGGGTCCAAGCATACACCGGGTTTAGCTCAACCACCAAGGTCACCTTTTCCCCGGACACGGGTTAAGCCACGCACAGCCAGACGTGGGTGGGCTAACCCCCATGGCTCGGGGTTCATAATGACGCCACTCACCAACCACCTATTAAAGTAGGCGCCCCCTGCGTGCGGGTATGGTGGCCCACGTGGCTGGGGTCCGTGGTGACGCTACTCACCAAGCACCTAGCACACAAGGTGCAGGCGACCCCTGCGGTGCTCAGGGTCCGTGGAGACGCCACTCTCCAAACACCTGCTTTCACAGGCGCCCCCTGCGGGGGAAATCCAGTCTAGAGAACTTAGCGATATTTCATCGACATCAGAACAGGCACCCTTCCAATGATGTTTAACCGTAAAGTATAACGCCGGAAACCGTTCAGCATACCTTGGAAATTCCAGCCCTCGTGGCATACAAAGGGCAAACAAAAACGTTGTGACCACAAGGAACACGGACGTGGGCACAGTCACGGTTATAAATTGCCGCAGTATTAAAAGTAAAGTGGACAAATTCATGGGTTTACTCGAAACAGTTAGACCTACAATTCTCTTGGGAACAAAATCCTTGTGGGATGACACTATAGGGTCAAACGAAGTATTCCCAAATAAGTATGCTGTTTACAAAAAAAGATAGAAATTCGCACGGCGGAGACATGTTCGTCCTTGTAGACAAAGATGTTCCGACTACACCGTTGCCAATATCAGATGTAAATATAGAAATAGCGTTGTGCCAGATGTGTTTAGACGGTAAGCATTTTTCGGTTAGTATGTACTTTCACCCTCAAAACGAGAACAGTGACGGCTTTGATGAACTAGGTGATTTGATCCTTGCGGCCTCAAAATAGTATGTTCTTCTGGGAGGATATTTCAACATTCCCGATTTGATTCGGGAGGATGGTAAGGCGACCTGCTCAGGAGGCACGCTTGGCACTAAATCAAGGGCCATTGTGAAAATGTTTGACCTAACACATTACGTCATGGAGGGTACGAGGCTGTTAAATGTAATGAATTTCTTGTTATGCAACTTACCGGTTGCATAAAAATATTTGCGTGCTACCAGTCATTTCTGATCATGAGATTGTGGCCGCTGATTTGGTTCATCCAAAAATAAACAAATCTAAATGTTAGGCAAGAACAATATTTTATTATGATAAAGGACAATATGATATCGTAAGAATTAAGCTTGTTAGTTTTTTTCCGTATTTTTAGAACAATTCGATAACGTTAGTATTGATACACTCTGGAAGATACTCAAATTAAAAAAAAACCCCTCCGGAGTAAGATCCTCAAAAACTAAAAAAACAAGCCTCGGGTAACACGAGAGGTGAAACAGAGTATCAAACGAAAACCTAGAGCGTGCCTTTGATATAAGAATAAGGGGGGGCAAATCAAGCTAGGTGAGTTTAGTAAAAATGAATACTCTTTTGAAAACTACAATAAAAATATTCAAAACCGTGTATTACACGCAGTTGGAAACTAAACTTAAAATAGACCCTAAAGAATTCTGGAAGTTTTTAAAAACAAATAAAAAGGATCACACATCTGTCCCCCCTCTTTTGGTAGGCGTGAAATGTGTCGAGAATGAAAAAAGAAAGGCAACGCATTTGAATAAATATTTCAAATCTGTTTTTTCTAAACCTGCTCTTGATATTCAGAAAGCAATCGGTCAAGATAACATTTGTCCGGTTATATTGAAAAACAGTTTTGAAGAGTTGGTGAGTTACTTATCTATTCCTTTTAAAAAATCTCTAGTGGAACAAAAGCTTCTATCTGATTGCAAAATGACAAATATAGTGCTAATACACAAGTCAGGAGATCAAAACTGTGTGGAAAACAATAGACCTATATCTTTGACGTGCATTTGCTGCAAGCTAATGGAACATGTCATATATAGTAATCTTATTAATCATTTGAACGTCGAAAGTTTTCTTATTCGAGATTAACACGGATTTCGTACTGGAGTATCCTGTAGCACGGTACTTGTTGATGCCTTTCATTTTCTTTCGTGAGCCATTGACGCTAGAGACGAAGTGGATCGTTTGTTTTTGTATTTTAGAAAGGCATTTGACCTTGTAGATCATGATCTTATATTTTACAAACTTAGCTTACTGTAACTAGATAGCAACGTACTGACATGGATCAAAGATTATCTAAGTGGACGAAGGAAATGTGTCGTGCGCGGTGGGGAAAGATCTGAGTATGTAAATGTCGAGTCTGGTGTCCCCCAGGGCTCGGTACTGGGTCCTCTGCTCTTCCTGATCTATATAAACGACATTATTTATGGCATACGATCATATATTCGGTTATTTTCAGATGATTGTGTTCTTTATAGGTTAATTTATTATTTCAACGATAGTTATGTTTTATAGAGTGATGTACAAAACATTTCCTGTATAGTGTAAAGATTGGAGAATGAACCTAAATGTTAAAAAGTGCGTGCATGCTAAATTCGCTAAAATATCCCACTACTTCTATCTACGTGATAAATAATAAAATAAATGAACCTAGCTGAAATGTAAAAAAAAATGAGCTGTTATGTTATCTAGTAAATTAACGTGGACGGGACACGTTGAAATGATAGCCCTAAAGGCTATACACATGCTTAATTTTGTGCGGAAAATGTTTTGGCAGGCCTCGATGAAAAGAAGAGAAACTATACTTTATATATATCCGTCCATATATTGAATACGCCTCAGTTGTCTGGGATCCACACCAAAATGATTTATTAGACAAACACAAACTTGAAAAGGCAAAAAATCAATGCGCTAGATTTGAATTAAACAATTACGAGCTTAGAGCGAGTATCACTAACATGAAAGAGGCCCTACGTTAGGTGAAATTCAGTGAACGCAGAAAGTTGCTGTGGCTGAAAAATTTTAGATTTTATTTAGAATTATTAACTACCACAGATACTTTTTTACATAAATCGTTTTATGCATCCGAAGAAGCAGATCACCCCAAGAAAATCAGACCGTACTCAGGCCGCACCGACACCTTTGCTCTTTCTTTCTTTCCAAAAACCATCAAATAAATAAATGGTTTGACGAAAAATGTGGTTGTGGCATATTTGTTTTTTTAGTTCTTCAATTGTGTAGTGTTTTTAAAGACAGTACATTTTATTTTATTTGATTTTATATTTTTTCAATAGAAAAGTGTATTTTTTGTGTGTGTACTAGGGTTCTAAAAATGTTCGCATGTAACCCACCCCCTGCAATAATTGCTCACGTCGATGCAGTTTTTTCTATAAATATAATATTTGTTGAATGCGTCGCAAGGATTCCGTTGTTGGGCAAGAGAGCGGTCGCACGGACTTGCTACATTTCAACTTGGTGGTACGTGTTGTGAAGATGCGGCGTTGATTTTAATAGCGCTACGAAAATCGCAATGTAATTAAGCAAAAAATTGCATCATCTAGAACGGTCTTAACTTGTCCAACAACTGTTACGAACAAAAATAGCAGCTGGAGACTCCATGTACATACTAGCGTCTCTTTGGACGAAACAAACTAGACTTGGTAACATTGTCATATTTTTTCTCGGGTCTTGTCATATAAATGTGTATTATTTTTTCTGTATTCCAAGAGATGAGTTTTGAATTAAATCTCTCTCTGGGTTAAACAGATGGTCAAGAACGTTTGAAGATTTCACAACACAAATTCAATGTAGTTTATTTTAATTTAATATATCTCTCTTTACACACGAAAGAAACGGGAAAAATGCAGTACAAGATCTGCTTGAGAAAGCCCCCTCTTCCCCTAGAACAACAGCATCAGCAGCACTTTACTCACACAAAGCAAAAACACAAATAGCAAAAACAAAAAAGTAGGAAACTGTTTCGTATACACATTAAGAATGCTCTAATTAGCTCGACATGATGAGCAACGAGCGGATATTTTTGCGAGAACACTTTTAATGTCAGTACCTAGCGGAAAAATAAAATACATACAATTCAAGAACAAAGTTTGAGTCTCTCTGTTTCAGACGTTTAATTCAGTAAAATATATCTAAAAAGGAGTGGCGCAGCGTGCGGGTCCAAACAGAATGGAAATACAACGAGCCGCATTGCACAATTAATTTATTCTTCAAAAGTTGTTCTGCCCATGTACGCCCTAGACAAGTATCTATTTTCAGCTTGGTATCCTGTTACTCGCATTCGCTGCACTTGCAAGCTCCATCATAGCATGTCTGTATGATGAAAAAATTGTTTTTTATTGTCAATTTATTACGTGGGCAATACTGCGCTACACGACAGACTATGACAGTGGTAATAAAACAAACAGTACTATGCTGTCAAATACTGAACAGGAAGTATATGCTTGTGTAAACACTTCAACTACATTCCGAATTAAAAGCCCGTTTAGTCGATAATAAGAATATGACTACATATCTTCCAACCAAGTAAAGAAACGGAGGCCCACTTTTGTCTTACTCATCTATGTTTAGTAGGAACTTACCGCACCAAAGGCGCAGGGAAATCCATTAGGAAGTGCGTACTCTCCTACTATTCGCTGCCCTGTTGCAGTTTGGCGTACGTAAGAGAAGTCGCAGTAGCGAAGCCGGAGTTTGGCCTGCAAGTAATATTTATTACATCCTTAGAATGGGTAGGCGCGCTAGCCTGTACATGACTGCATGCTATTGAGCAACATAGATTTAAAACAGAAAAAAAAAACTTACAACAGACTGCGCTTTGTGCGGTCGATTCTTTTCGTTCTTGTTAAAATATTATCGTCTTACCTTATGCACTTTCTTAATTCTATTTTCTTTAGTAGTATAAAGCCAATCACATTATTAAGTCACCTTTCTGAGAGTAGTGTTACTTGCGTTCACATGCTCTCGGGTGTCTGATCATAAAAGAAACGACTTTAAATAATTTGGTAGGACATGTTGAGAGCACACAACATATAAGAAAAATGTCCATCATCGTGTTCAGTTCATTTCTACTAGACTTCAAATAAGATCGGCTAAAGGGTGGCTGGTCGAGATTTTTTAAATGAACTGATGTTTTTATATGACATTGTCTCGTGTCTGGTACAAAACAAATCTACACTTAGTTTTGACCTAAAAAAAAATAAAAAACTTTGGGACAGGAAAACTTTTAAGGCATGAAGGGGTTTACTCTGGCATTAACGCGCACTGATGGAGGGGGCACGTTTTAAAATCAATAACTAAAACGATAAAATCAGGAGAATTTTAATACTTTTTAGAAACGAACTATGGGTACAGCTTGCTTGTAATATATAATAATATTACTTATTTAAATTATGTTTAGTTTTCTAAAAATTGCCGAACATGCCTGCTCGAGCGACGAAAGACAAAATTTGGAGGCCTGTATTTTATGAAATAATTTAATTAACATCATATACTTTTCAGATAATATTCTACTTATATATGTCTATAATTTAAAATATATATTAGGTATCTGAGTGATACGATAGCCGTGATATATTTAAGCAAACATGGGGGAAAAATCAGAGAAACATTCCGATGCGAGTAAAAAGAGAAAAAAAAAACACCACCTCCGATTTTTTGTTTAATTTGGGTACCCTCTTATATTTTATTTCAACATTCATTCTATTAAAACATGTTGCATTATTTGATTGAGAAAGGAGACATAACTCCCCAAAGGAGGGTCCAATGCCCTATACAAGAAGTGACTCTTAGTTCCAGTTTCAGGAAACTAACAAACCTCTTTCATATATTTATATTTTGATGAGGTCACTGACAACTAGAGCAATCGGTCACACAGAAAAAGTGAGGATAAACTGTATACAGCATTTTACATACAGCGTAGAAAGAGGTATCATATTAGAGACTATAGCGATTCGAGAAAAGATGATGCAGTGTGCAGTTTTACCTTCTGGTATAATTTATATTTAGGATAAAATAAATAACTTCCACACACAAAAATAAAAATAGAATACTATAATTGTTTAGGTTAGCTATATGTTTCCGGGGACAAAACATTTCGGGTGAGGGGTGCCACCGCGCCGGACTGTAAGAGCTTCAATATTATCGCTGTACGAATCGATCGTGGCAAGCCGAGATATTTTATCCCGCTCGAGAATTTCATTTCGTGATTCTCATATTGTGGTCAGATAAAGATTATAAGTTTTCACCAAATAAACAGTAGGTTGAATGCCCCGCGAAGAAAACTGTGATAAATAAGATGTTCCTGCATTCAAAATGAGGAGTCCTTGCGGAATCAAATTCGCACTTTACGCTAAGGCGTTCCTCGATGTACCTATTTAATAAACTTTCTTCTAACCAGATCCCACTGTCAGTGCTACATATATGTCACAGGTTCCTTCTGTTGATGACTTGCAACGCTGCCACGCGTGCCAAGACTGAATGCCAGGAAAGGCGCGCACCGTCAGCCACTCTTCTTTTTTTGTTGACGATACCGAACAGCCTCATTTTCGTCCTGATCCACAAGATGCACCCAGTTTCTCGAATAGAACGCTCACCATTGTCCTGGCCGTCTGAATTGCGTTTATTAAACTTTCTCTCAAGTTGTTCAGCGTGGCCTGGTGCTTCACGAGTCCTCCAACTCCGTCGCATGCATTTTCTCATCTCCAGATGCAGAAAATAACCACTGGGCTTGTGGGAAATCGTTTTGTGCAAACTGTTGAGGCTGGTAGCAATTCTAAAAATGACCTTTGGTCCCGTCACTTACGTACGTCACGTCCGAGTATACTGCAAGGTTGTCTTCAACCCACTCTTTCACTTTTTCTAGAGCCAAGCACGTTAAGCGGCGTTGTGACACAGGTCCTCACTGATGATAGCAAAGCTGTTCGTAGATTTTCTTGTCATCACCACAAATGTAGATATCGTAAATTTTTTTTCTTCAGTGGTATGGGAGGAAGAAGAAGGCGAGACGCGGCTCAGCCGCGCCTCGCATAGGCTTCTGCTTCTAAGTCCGCTTTTAGATGTCCAGGACCATCTACGTTCCTCAGACAGTCGCCAAGGGCTTCCTAACATCACGAGCTGTACGTTGATACCACCCAAGCGGACGTCAGAGTGACTGTTTTGACAAAATCGCCACCCACAGCTCGACCACGTCGGCAACCATATCGCTAGGCTTCGCCCCGATAGGCATAGCCACCGACTTTCCGCCGGCTCTTCCACCGGCTCGCAAAGCCCAAGCCGCCACCATGCCCAACTCCGCTGACAACGCCATGGAGTTCGACGCCCTGAGCGGCCGGACCTTAGCACCACCCGGCCCCTGGCAGCAAATTCTACGCGAACGTCGCCATCTCAAGAACCCACCAGCAAACCCGCCGCGGCCCTCAGAGCCACGTCAGTCTACAAACCGTCCACCTGGCACGCCAGCACCCCGACTACCCGACTCCGACTACAAGGTTGTCTTTCGGCCACGAACTGGACTACGAGTAGCTGCCTGGAATGACCGCCAACTCGCACAGAGCTTACAACGGGCAAGCAAAATACCTGAATACATTTTCTACGCTCGAGTCACCGTGCAAATTCAAGCCTCGCAAAATTTAATCGTTGCGGGCACGCCCGAAGAAAACTGTGCGCTCGCGTTGAGCGAAATTTCCACGATCCAACTGGGGGCAGCAACTCATGAAGTTCTACCTTACCTCAAACCGCTCCCAGGGACAAGACGTGGGGTGATCCACGGTCTGGACCCGGACACCACCACTGACCAACTCCCTCACATCCTGGCATACAACGGCGCACGTATACTACATGCCCGCATGCTGGGCAACTCTACATCGGCAGTGGTCACATTTGAAGGAATCCATGTACCATTCTACATCAAAGCGTATGGACTTTTCACTCGCTGCCGACCATACCGACAAACAGTGCAGTGCTGCTCTCTCTGTGGAGAACTCGGACACAGGCAAGACGTCTGTCCAAATCCCGACACGATAATGTGCGCTCAGTGCCACACAAGGGATCCCACACAAGACCACGACTGCACCCCTAAGTGCCAACTCTGCGGCCTCGCCCACCCCACGGCTAGCAAGGATTGCCGAAAAAAACTGCGATCACCGCCTCCGCCACTGCGAGACCGGGAACGAGCTCTCACCTCACAGCGGTGGCAACAACAATCCTCCTCGAATTCCCAGCCTCCTGAGCAACGACAATTTCCACCGAACCAACCGAACCAACAACAGGTGAGCTGGTCAACCATCGTTGCTCCTCCGCCTAACGCTCATGACCAAGTCCCCCTACTCTCCACCCGTCCCGTACAAACTCCCGACCCCCGTATCCAAACCCTCCAACAAGAAAACACGCTCCTCAAACAGCAGCTAGAAGCTACGAATAAACGTACGACTACCCTCGAACAACGTATCGAGCAACTTCTCATGCAAGTGGAGCTGTTACTCCAGCACCAAGTTCAACGTCCTAAAGACCCGACCCCGGAGAGGAACCCCGATGCCACACCACCCCTCACGCAAATGGAGCTGCCAGCCCACCCCCAAATTCAGCGCCCTCCAGGGCCGACCCTTGATAGGGACCCCGAGGCCACACCACTCACCTCTCGCGCCCCTACGCCCGTTCCGACACATATTAGCCACCTTGAGCGCATCATCTACGAGATGGGAGAACGCCTCAACAGCCGGTTGATCGACCTCGATCAGCGCATCCACACCATCGAAGAAGCAAAGCGACAGGCGCGAAAAAGGCCCAAACAGTGCACCTTACCCAGCACCTCCGGCGACACGTCCCCTCCCCTCCAAATTGATGATGATTAACCCCCCATCGCCCAAAAACTCATCCGCACCTCCACCCCCGCTGACCGTATGGCAGTGGAACTGTCGCTCGTTTCGCAACAAGAAACCATCGCTCACTCTCCTCGCCCTTCAACACTCGCCAGACCTCATCGCCCTTCAAGAAACGAATACGGACAACGTGTCGCTTCGGGGTTACACGACATATGCCACTGATCCAACATCCCGAACAGCCGTCCTTGTTCAAGCCACCCAAACCGCCCAAACGCACACTCTACCTACAACGATAGATTATACTTTCGTCGAACTCCTACCCCGTAAAAAGACAGAAACCAGCCTGTACGTCCTTAACATCTACAGTCCTCCAACACAGACTCTCTCGGCGATTGACCGCCTTCTAAGAATCGTCCGCCAACGAACCAGAGGCCACAAACTCGTGGTCCTCGGGGATTTCAATGCCCAGCATACGGCCTGGGGTTACCCCAGAAACAACAAAAAGGGTACAAGCTTACATGAAGCTACTCTACAAAATCAACTCTACCTATATAACTCCCTCCACATTCCCACTAGAATTGGCAACAGCGTCTCGCAGGATACGACCCCCGACCTGACGTTTACATACAACATCAAACAGGCTACATGGTCGCGCCTGGACAAAACTCTGGGCAGTGACCATTACATAATACAGCTCCAAATCCCACACCAAAGGACCAGGAGCCAAAAAATTGGCACGGCACGCATCACCAATTGGAAAAATTTCCGAGAAGCAACTCCCACCGGTCCCATCATAAGCCTCGAGGATTGGACTACCCAGCTCCTTGAGAAGGCACGGGAAAACACCAAGGAACTTTCCCTTACGGAGGACAATCCCG